GTGATTTATTTCATGAAATGCTAATTGACCTGCGGGTCCTTATGAAATGAAATGTGAGATCTCTTTCGAGTCATCTCAAATATGTTAGAGTATTCGATTGATCATCGATTGCTTTTGATGGAATGATGGTATGGAATGTTATAAATTCATGTTTTAAAAGTTATTATATTGTTTTGGACGCACGTATCCTACTGAGTATAAATTACTCACTCCTTCCATTTTAACTTTTCAGGTCAGATTGGTCAACGTGGATGGTGGCTGAGTGGTGCGCAGGTTGCCAAGTAATAGAAGATTTCTAGGAATCCATAATAAATTTGTTAGGGCATTTTATATTTCTCTTCAATTCCATTCATGACGCTATGTTTATTTGATTCAGTATTTGAGTTTCAATAAATTAAGGTATTAAATTTTAAATTTTATTTTCGCTTGATGTATGATTATGGAATGGTATCGGTAACTCCTCAAATTTAAGTCAATAACATTTGGGGCGTTACACATTGTTTGACACTTGCATTGTTTTCAAGTGTCAATTGGATGGGAAAATGATTTGAAATTTAAACTGTCCAACAAGGTAGTGTCACGTGGCAAAGTTTGAACTAAAGTGTACACCATAGTGTACATGTAGCAAGGTCCTTACCGTTTGAGCCTTGCTATTTGTACACTGATTTTTGACGCATTGTCTGACACTTGCACTGTTGTAAAGTGTCAATTGGATGGGAGAACAGTTTGAAATTTAAACTGCCCAACTGGGTATTGTCAAGTGTCAAATGGATGGGAAAACTATTTGAAATTTAAACTGTCCAACAGACTAATGTCACGTGGCAAAGTTTAGACTAAAATGTACACCATAGAGTACATGTAGCAAAGTCCTTGCTGAATGAATATTGCAATTTGTACACTGATTCTTAACGCACTGTTTGACACTTGCATTGCTGTCAAGTATCAATTGGATGGAAAAATTGTTTGAAATTTAAAATGTCCAATAGGGTAGTGTCACATGACAAAGTGTAAACTAAAGTGTACCTCATAGTGTACATGTTGCAAGTTTCTTACCGATTGAACTCTGTTACTTTTACACTGTTTTTGACACATTGTTTGATACTTGCATTGTTATCAAGTGTCAATTGGATGGAAAAATAGTTCGAAATTTAAACAGTCCAATAGGATAATGTCATGTAGCAAAATTGTAAACCAAAGTGTGCACTATAGTGTACTTGTAACAAGGTTCTTACCAATTGAACTTTGGTATTTGTACATTGATTTTTGACACGTTGTTTGACACTTGCATTGTTGTCAGGTGTCGAGTGGACGGGGAAACTGCTATTTGTACACAGATTTTTGATACGTTGTTTGACACTTGCATTGTTGTCAAGTGTCAATTGGATGTTAAAACTCTTTGAAATTTAAACTATCCAATAGGGTAATGTCACGAGGCAAAGTGTAAACTAAAGTGTAAAGCATAGTGTACACGTAGCAAGGTCCTTAACGATTGAACTTTACTAGTTTTACACTAATTTTCAACACGTTGTTTCACACATGCATTGTAGCCAAGTGTCAATTGGCTGGGAAAACTGTTTGAAAACTAAAGTGTGCACACCATAGTGTACTTGTAGCAAGGTTCTTACCGATTGAACTTTACTAGCTGTACACTAATTTTTGACATGTTGTTTGACACTTGCATTGTTGTCAAGTGTCAATTGGATGGGAAAGCTATTCAAAATTTAAACTATCCAATATGGTAATGTCACGTGGCATCGTGTAAACTAAAGTGTACACCATAGTGTATATGTAACAAGGTCCTCAATGATTGAACTTTACTATTTGTACACTGATTTTTGACACGTTGTTTCACACTTGCATTGTTGTCAAGTGTCAATTAGATTGGAAAATAGTTTGAAATTTATACAATCCAACAAGGTACTGTCACATTACAAACTGGAAACTAAAGTGTGTACATCATAGTGTACTTGTAGCAAGGTTCTTAACGATTGAACTTTGCTACTTGTATACTAATTTTTGACATGTTGTTTAACACTTGCATTGTTGTCAAGAGTCAATTGGATGGGAAAACTATTTGAAATTTAAATTGTCCATCAGGGTATTGTCACATGGCAAAGTGTAAACTAAAGCGTACACCATAGTGTACATGTAGCAGGGTCCTTACCGATTGAACTTTGCTATGTGTCCACTGATTTTTGACACGTTGTTTGACACTCTCATTGTTGTCAAGTGTCAATTGGATGGGAAAACTATTTGAAATTTAAACTGTCCAACTGGCTGATGTCACGTGGGAAAGTTTAAACTAAAGTGTACACCATAGTGTACATGTAGCAGGGTCCTTACCAATTGAACATTGTAATTTGTACACTGGTTTTTGACACGTTGTTTGAGACTTGCATTGTTTTCAAGTGTCAATTGGATGGGAAAACCATTTCAAATTTAAACTGTCCTACAGGGTAGTGTCACGTGGCAAAGTGTGAACTAAAGTGTACACCATAGTGTACATGTAGCAATGTCCTTACCGTTTGAGCCTTGCTATTTGTACACTGATTTTGGATAGGTTGTTTGACACTTGCACTATTGTAAAGTGTCAATTGGATGGGAAAACTGTTTGAAATTTAAACTGTCCAACAGGGTAATGTCACATGGCAAAGTGGAAACTAAATTGTACACCATAGTGTACAAGTAGCAAGTTTTTTACCGATTAAACTTTTCTATTTGTACACTGATTTTTGACATGTTGTTTGACACTTGCATTGTTTTCAAGTGTCAATTGGATGGGAAAACTGCTATTTGTACACTGATTTTTGATACGTTTTATGAAACTTGCTTTGTTGTCAATTGTCAATTGGATGGAAAAACTGTTTGAAATTTAAATTATCTAATAGGGTAATGTCATGTGGCTAAGTATAAACTAAAGTGTACGCCATAGTGTACATGTAGCAATGTTCTTACCGATTGGGCTTTGCTATATGTACAATGATATTTAACACGATGTTTGACACTTACATTATTGTCAAGTGTCAAATGGATGGGAAAACTATTTGAAATTTAAACTGTCCAACAGACTAATGTCACGTGGCAAAGTTTAGACTAAAGTGTACGCCATAGAGTACATGTAGCAAAGTTCTTACCAATTGAATATTGCAATTTGTACACTGATTCTTAAAGCACTGTTTGACACTTGCATTGCTGTCAAGTATCAATTGGATGGAAAAATTATTTGAAATTAAAAATGTCCAATAGGGTAGGGTCACATGACAAAGTGTAAACTAAAGTGTACCCCATAGTGTACATGTTGCAAGGTTCTTACCGATTGAACTCTGCTATTTTTACACTGTTTTTGACACGTTGTTTGATACTTACATTGTTATCAAGTGTCAATTGGATGGAAAAATAGTTTGAAATTTAAATTGTCCAATAGGATAATGTTATGTAGCAAACTGTAAACCAAAGTGTGCACTATAGTGTACTTGTAACAAGGTTCTTACCAATTGAACTTTGGTATTTGTACATTGATTTTTGACACGTTGTTTGACACTTGCATTGTTGTCAAGTGTCAACTGGACCGGGAAACTGCTATTTGTACACAGATTTTTGATACGTTGTTTGACACTTGCATTGTTGTCAAGTGTCAATTGGATGGTAAAACTCATTGAAATTTAAACTGTCCAACAGGGTAATGTCACGAGGCAAAGTGTAAACTAAGGTGTAAAGCATAGTGTACACGTAGCAAGGTCCTTAACGATTGAACTTTACTAGTTTTACACTAATTTTCAACACGTTGTTTCACACATGCATTGTAGCCAAGTGTCAATTGGCTGGGAAAACTGTTTGAAAACTAAAGTGTGCACACCATAGTGTACTTGTAGCAAGGTTCTTACCGATTGAACTTTACTAGCTGTACACTAATTTTTGACATGTTGTTTGACACTTGCATTGTTGTCAAGTGTCAATTGGATGGGAAAGCTATTCAAAATTTAAACTATCCAATATGGTAATGTCACGTGGCATCGTGTAAACTAAAGTGTACACCATAGTGTATATGTAACAAGGTCCTCAATGATTGAACTTTACTATTTGTACACTGATTTTTGACACGTTGTTTCACACTTGCATTGTTGTCAAGTGTCAATTAGATTGGAAAATAGTTTGAAATTTATACAATCCAACAAGGTACTGTCACATTACAAACTGGAAACTAAAGTGTGTACATCATAGTGTACTTGTAGCAAGGTTCTTAACGATTGAACTCTACTACTTGTATACTAATTTTTGACATGTTGTTTAACACTTGCATTGTTGTCAAGAGTCAATTGGATGGGAAAACTATTTGAAATTTAAACTGTCCATCAGGGTATTCTCACATGGCAAAGTGTAAACTAAAGCGTACACCATAGTGTACATGTAGCAGGGTCCTTACCGATTGAACTTTGCTATGTGTCCACTGATTTTTGACACGTTGTTTGATACTTTCATTATTGTCATGTTCAATTGGATGGGAAAACTATTTGAAATTTAAAATGTCCAACTGGCTAATGTCACGTGGGAAAGTTTAAACAAAAGTGTACACCATAGTGTACATGTAGCAAGGTCCTTACCGATTGAACATTGTAATTTGTACACTTGTTTTTGACACGTTGTTTGAGACTTGCATTGTTTTCAAGTGTCAATTGGATGGGAAAACCATTTCAAATTTAAACTGTCCTACAGGGTAGTGTCACGTGGCAAAGTGTGAACTAAAGTGTACACCATAGTGTACATGTAGCAATGTCCTTACCGTTTGAGCCTTGCTATTTGTACACTGATTTTGGATAGGTTGTTTGACACTTGCACTGTTGTAAAGTGTCAATTGGATGGGAGAACAGTTTGAAATTTAAACTACCCAACTGGGTAATGTCATGTGGCAAAGTGTAAACTAACGTGTATACCATCATGTACATGTAGCAAGGTTCTTACCAATTGAACTTTGCTATTTGTACACTGATTTTTGACACATTGTTTGACATTTCCATTATCGTCAATTGTCAATTGAATGGAAGAACTATTTGAAATTTAAGCTGTCCAACAGATTAATGTCACGTGGCAAAGTGTAAACTAAAGTGTGTACACCATAGTGTACTTGTAGCAAGATTCTTACCGATTGAACTTTCCTATTTGTACACTGATTTTTGACACGTTGTTTGACACATGCATTGTTGTGAAGTGTCAATTGGATGGAAAAATTGTTTGAAATTTAAACTATCCAATAGGGTAACTACATGTGGCAAAGTATAAACTA